TCCCACCGCGGTTGACCACAACAGAGTGATGAAAGCTCGCTTTGTCCTGAAATGGGCTTCGGATGGAAAAGGTGGTTTGAAAGCAAAAGCCAGACTCGTACTCCAAGGATTCTCCGATCCTGACCTTCTTCAAGGATCACTTGACACGTCATCCCCGACTTTGGCACGAACTTCAAGACAAGTGCTCCTGGCCATCAGCCAGGTCAGTCATTGGGGAAGATGGACGGCCGATGTGTCCACAGCTTTTCTCCAAGGAGATCCTCAAGAACGCACCTTGTGGGCCAAGATTCCAAAAGATGCCTGCGAGATCATCGGTGCGGCTCCTGGAACCTTGATGAGATTGATCAAGCCAATATATGGCCAAGCTGACGCTCCAAGGCAGTGGTTCATTGTCGCCCGCAGACGCTTGGAGAACCTTGGCTTCAGAGCTCACGCCTTGGATCAGTGCCTCTACACCTTCCATGACTCCAACAAGCAACTGATCTCCCTGGTTGGTCTACATGTTGATGACCTACTAGGTTGTGGAAAAGATGGCCACCCTGAGTACGAAAGTCTCAAGCTGCAGTTAAAAGATGCCTTCAACTTCAAGCACTGGACTGAGGAGACCGAGGACAAGCCTCTTGAATTTTGTGGATGCCACCTCAGTCGAACAACCACGGAATCCAAGCTGCATCAAGCTGAGTACCTCAAAGGAGTGAAACCGATGACATGCACCGACTATGACTCCAATCGCAATCTCAACTCCAAAGAGCAGAGCTGTCTTCGAGCTTTGTTGGGAGCACTTCAATGGCCAGCTACACAGACATCTCCACACCTCAGCGCCTCAGTTTCCTTGCTATGTGGAGAGGTCACCACGGCAACTGGCGAGACAGCATCCCAGGCCAACAAAGTTCTCAGATTCGCCAAGTCCAACGGCGACACAGCACTGATCTTTCGAGATCTTGGAGGCGATATGGAGAAGTTGTGCATGATCGCCATGAGTGACGCAGCTTGGGGAGTGCGCAGAAACAACGAATCACAGGGCGGCTACCTGATTTTTCTCTGCAACCAGCAAGCGCTGGAAGATGGCTCCACTCAGGACTATATCATCCTGGATTGGCGCAGCTTCAAGCTGCCTCGGATCAGTCGATCCTCCCTCAATGCCGAAAGTCAAGCTTCATCTGCAGCAATGGACGCTCTAGAATATCTTTTGATTTTCTGGGAAGGCTGCATCCGCTACGACTTTCAGCTTCGCCAGGTGGATAGCTTTGTTCCTGAGATGCCTTCGGCATTGGTCGTGGACGCCAAGGCCCTGTACGACTCCTTGAAGGCCGAGACTCCTAGCCTCCAGGGTGACAAGCGCACCAAGATCGAGGTAATGGTGACAAAGCAGAAAATGGTGGGAATGAAAACCCGCCTGAAGTGGGTATCGTCGGAAGCCCAAATCGCCGACGGAGTCACCAAGCACAGCGCAAGACAGTTGTTTGCAGATCGACTACGATCTCATTGCCTTTCCCTCCAGTCCGACATGACCTTCCAAGCGGCCAAGAAGAAGTCGCAAGCAGAAAGGCAAGCAAACTCCAGAAGGCACGCCATTGCAAGAACCGGCAACTCAAAGCAGCTAGCATTCGCAGTTCTCACTTCGCAAATGATGTGTGTGAAAGCCATGGCAGTTGAGGAGACCTTGGCATTCCTCCTCTCCCCTGAAGTGACCCTAGCGCTCTATGTCATTCTCTTCGGCATGTTCATTTGGCAGTGCTTCAAAGTCTCTACATCACTGAACCCTCCGGTTACCAGGTCTAAAGAGTTGAGCACCACCACCTCGAGCTCTTCACAAGTCGGAACCCAAACCGACGCAGAGACGGAAAAGATGATTCGCCTCTTCCGAGATGAAAATGTGAGACTCCAAGACATCACCAGAGATCAGGAGGCGGAACTCTTTGAACTCCAGGCGCAGTGCACAGCGCAGGAGGAAGAGTTGAGTGAAATGATTGAAAAGGTTGAATTTTTGAAAAGGCAGCTCACCGAAGCAGAAGAAGATTTGCACAAGTCCAACTTTCAGTGGGCAGCCCTCCAGCAAAGGTTCGTCAATCTGAAGAATGAACTTGAAAACGACTTCACACCACGGGTCGTATGGACGGCCAAGAAAGGAAAGTCATACCACACCTCCCTGGAATGTCAGGGATTGGCCTCAGCTGACAGAGAGCAGCTGAAGAGTTGGGAAGCCTGCGCATTTTGCGCCACCGAGGCCCTCCTTAAGTGGAGGCGGCTGTAGGCAACCACCGGTGTGAGTTTCGATCCTCAAAACATGACGGTCGATACTTCCGCAGCTTTTGAACTGAAGATGTTCGCTGCCACATCGGCTTGAATCCCCGAAGGGGGCCCTCTTGAGCTTTCTACATGACAAGCTACGCAAGCGATAGAAAGAAGCGCTACTTCATTTCGGTCCCGTCGAGCACTTCGAGCGGTTCGACGAGCAAGACACGTCACTCCATACCTTTCGTGTTTTCACACCCCAAGTCAAGGCGAAGAACCAGTGGGATTTCCTTCATCAACTTTCAGTCCTGAACATGTCTGAGACCCGCAAAGCCCAAAGCATTCCTTTCACGCGCTCTTTCATGGCTTGAGCTGCCTTTACTGGTAGCGGCTTCAGACACCTGGGTGTCTAACGCCTGCCAGCCTCGGTCCCTAGGTCATCCTATACTCATAGGTCAAGCCTCCATCAATCATTGAAAGCGCGTGACTGGTCATTACCTTGTTTCCGGGGTGTCTCTTCATCGATTCATCGCTGCTTTTTTTTCCTTTTTTTTCGGGGTGTTCAAGTTCAATCACCATCCCTTCAGGGTCCTATAGATGTCTATTAGCTATGGATCCACATACCTTCTCAGAAAGTATGACTGGGCCCTAGAGATGGCGCCTACCTAAATAGTCTCCTTCCTCACCGTACCGATCTCGCTTCGGTATGTGGATCCATAGGGATAGATGTCAAAAGGATTCAAAAGGAATATGCCCTAGGGCTCCTGGCCCATCTCCTCAGGTTCGGTTCTTAGAGCCTCCTGGCACCCACCCCAACCATCTTCGAAACGGAGGTGGGACAGGAGCCCAAACGGGATGAAACATCCCTTCACTGATCCGATGTTCCACCCTGTCCCGGCCTTCGAATGGGGCAGCCCTCGGAGGTCAAGGCCTCCTCCAAGAGCAAGTTCTCCATGGCCTCCTGCCACGCGGGTCGGCCTCGGATGAAAGGGATCTGAGAGGGCTCCAATGTGTGAAGGGCTCCTATCAGACCTTGATTCCTATCGGATCTTCTTTCGCCACCCTGGTTCTCATTGGCAACACAAGCACTATATCGATATTGATCTGATTCGAGATAAAGGGAGATACCCATCGCCCACCGGTGGGGTAGACAACTTATCCGAACCTTCGAGGAGGTCGTGGCGTTCAGCGCCGGCGGTTCGTTCGGTCTCCCTATGTTTGTTTGACACCTCCAGGATACAGCCCTTTGGTTTGTTTCCTGTTGACCCACTTGGAGTCTTTGTTTGTAAAACACTGCCGGGACGTCGATGTGTTGCCTCGTCCCGACACCGAGACCGGTCCCCAACTCCGGTTCGGTCGAAAAGGGCCGTCCTTGGATGTGCAACATTGCGATTGGCCCATGGCAGCGCCAAACCGCCCGGCGCGAAACCGCTGCGGGCAGCGCCCGCGTTTCGGGTGCGGTGGCCGAAGGATCCCAGCAGAGTGTGTTGGCTCCGGTTTTTTGTGGCTCCCAGGATTTGTTGGGAGTTGAGTCCATGACTGACCACTGGTCGTCCGCGGACACCTGTCTGACCGGCCAATCCAATGGGTCCCGACGGACCACGGGCCTAAGAGATCAGATCTCGATTCTGTACCAAAGAATGCGATAGTTCAGCCACTTCAAGAAACGAGACCTGCTTGGTGGTTTCAACTCACTTGAAAAACAGTCAGTATAGTCAGTGTTTGTCAGTGAGTCAGTCAGTGGATTCAATCATCGTAAAAGGTTGAAAATCAAAACATCTGAAACCACAGACCGCCCAGATGCAGTACGTCAGTTCGCTCTTTCAGCACAAATATCGGGTCAGATATTGACAGCTCTCAAACCCTCAGCTGTTGAGCCCGCAGCGGTCTACTAGAAGTGCTGTCTCTCCAAAACTCCTGTCGCTTTTTCAGAAGACCCAGAAACTCCAGACTTCATCATCATGCAGGCACCAAGTGGCCAACAAAGCCAAGAAACCTGGATTCTCGTATATCTGCTAAAGGCCGCTAAAGGATTGAAGGTTTGGGGAGGCTCCAAAATGTCTTTTCGTTCCCCCAAAAGGCTCCCAAACCAGCCGCCGTTGTCTCCGTTGTCGCCGCGAGGAAGTCTTCTCCCAGGGGCCGATCACGTCCGGATGCGTCTTCAACTTGCACGTCATTGGAGTTGGAGTCACTTGCAACATCGTGTGATAGATACCCTCCCGGAGAACCAAACGAAGTGGACACTCCCCTTTACTTAGTCGCCGCACATTCGGAGTCTTTCTGACTTCGCATCCCGAAACCACAAGCACTGTGGCAATCTCACAATGTGAGGCGATCTCACATGGTCCCTTAGGCCTGACGACTTTCCTTTTACAAACGCGGGGGTGGCATCCAAGTCCATCTCGTTGAGTTCGAGTGTATCATAGAACAGATAGAACTCTTGAAATTAGCAACCCTTGATTGCTTGGAAATCTATACAAACTTAGCTTGGAGGCTTGGAGCATCTCAAAACCCAGAAAACATCATAGGAAAACCATAGAAAAAACCATCGTCGAATGGATTTGCACAAGCGGACCCATTTTTCGAGCGACCTTACCTTGACCCTGCCTAGAATTCTTGCACCCGATAACTGCTTCTCACTCTGCTTCTGTCAAATGCTCTCCCTCCCATCCCCGGTTGAACACCACATGAGCTCACATGAATCACGTCATCACACGGACGATCTTCCGTTGAACGCGGCGACCCCCCCCCCGCTCTCTGCGCACCTGGGTCTTCACCTGCTGATCAATCTGCATGAAGAGTCGCTTCTTCTGCTGCTCCGCCTGGCGACGTCGAGCCGCAGCCGGCTTGCCGAGTGCGCCCGGTGCCTGGCTGCGATCGGCTGCAGGGTGCTGCGAGAACGGTCGCGTCGAAAAGTGAATCGGTTTTCATGGTCCCAGCTCTCTATCTCCGAAGTACAGCCTGCGTCCATGATCCGTCGACCCCAACGTCGGGAGGAATGCGAAGGACTGATCCACGCAATCGCGTGGAAGGGACCAGTTGACTCTTCTGAGCGTTGCAATAAGTAATGCCGCACAAACTTCTACCAGCACCGCACCTTCAAAAAAACAATATAATAGAATCAATAGAAGCCCCTACACTACATTGGGAATCGGACACCCAAGGTCCACGCATGTGCTGCTATTTTCAAGGTCAGAACCCTTCAATACAGTCAGTACCCTTCAATTCTTGCTTGATTTTGCCACCCTGATGCCTCTATGCCTCTTAATCTGCAGCTTGGTAAGGCTCAGTGATACGGTATACACCCCCAACCGCAAGCTCTTTGACCAAAACAACGGCTTTCGTAGCGGTGGCTATCCTCGTCCTTGGACAGCAACAAGTCCCACATTCTGATCCATGCTTTCAAATCCCCAATTCTCCCAGATTCCCCTCTCCAAACCTCTGACACGGTTCGGACCCACCGTCACTGTTGAACGCCAACAAAAATAACAGCAAAAGATAGGCTCCGTGTCAGTGACGCACCGGTGAAGCACCGGGTATAAGGCACCTGGGAGTGGATTAACTCCAACTGCTGCTTTCGTTGCAGCTCCAGCGAGGCATTGCTGCGCTGCTCCTGATGGAGCGGGAGCGGAGTTCGGCGGAGAAACAGGATCCGCGGGGAGGGGGGGGGCAGGCAGGGAGGGAAGGAGTCCGGTGTCCAGAAATCGCGGGGTCATGTTGGAGAGGCATAGCTCTATAAAGAGTGAGCATTGAGCATAGAGCATGGTGAACTTACAAGATCAAGGAATCTCGACAGCCCCGTGGTGCTCCAGCAGAAACGAAAGCCATCCTAAGCCAATCGGCTAGCCATCTTCCGCCAGCCTGATCTGACCGAACTCGACAGCCCAGCCCGGATCGACGGATTCTCCGGATCGACACGACTGGGCTGTCCGCCCGTTGGGGGTCGAAACAAACAGCGAAACAGCTCCAGCTGTATAGCTGTTGCGCAGCTGATGTGATCATTCAGCCAGTCTTCCTCGCCTGCTCCTCCAGTGAAGTCAAGTAGTTCTCCTTTTGCCGCTCCACACTGGCTGGGTCTGGCCTCATGTGCGCACACAAAGGATATTCTACTTACTACTTGGAGGTAAAAATATATATATATATAGTGGAGACTCATGTTCAAGCAACCACTTCAATGTGACAGTCAAGGCATGTCTGGGCAATATTCCCATAATATGCGGCGGTCAAAACATAGTCATTCTGCTGCCAAAACTCTTCACAGATCTTCATAGAATGTCTTGGCTTTTGCTCATAACATGAAACGGAACTTCTTTTCTTCTTTCTCCACCTGCCATCCAGGCTGGCAAGGTCGGGCCAGTCGACCGCCGCTTCCTTGAACAGCTTTAATTTACCATAATTTACCCAAACTCCTTGACGCGGCGGAGAGCGGACGCCAGTCCGACCGGCTGGGCACCCCAAACAAGCCAGAGGTCAGTGCTGGGGGCGGCCCATAGAGCACTTCTCGATTGGGCACCTGTGAAAAGGGCAAGGGTCGGACGGAGAAGGCCATTGCTAGTAGGTTGGAGGCCATCGTTATTAGGTATATAAGTGGACTGCTTAAGAGGCCCCATCCAGTCGGGTGAGTCGAGCGATGTTCTTTTGAATGAAAAAACGAGGGACTCCACGACAGCCGATCCATTGGGGAGCTGTTTGTGTGTATTTTTTCCGGAAGATTGGCAATACAAGCGAAGAGCAACCATGAACAACCATCATACTCTTGACATCTAACTCTGCAATACTCTGCATACTATCTACCAAGGATGGCTATAACTTCCGCATACTGGGTCAGAGAGCACGATGGGCAGGATTGCTATCTGCCACTTCAACCACCACTAGTACTGGATCCTTCTATGAAGCAGTACGTTGGCGAATTGGTTGGAAGCCGCTCCTTCCAAGTTGTAAAAGGATAAAATTAATATAAGTTATATGTTAATTTCTTTCCCCAAAGAGCCTCTCGAGAAAAAGCTTGGTGTTTTGAGTGAAATCATGTGAATTTCAGATTTCGAGACCTTGTCCTCATCTTCCGACCCGCGTCACGTCCATAGTCTTCCTCATCCTCCTCCCTTCTCAACTCTTTCCGACCGAAACCGTGGCCGCCCGTGGCCCGTGGCCCGCGCCTGCAGCTGTGGCTGGTTCCCAGGCTGCACCGAGGGCACGGGCAGCGGGGATTGCCCAGGGCTAAGGCTCGGATTGGCTAAGCTCGGCCTTGGGGCGCTGAAGACCACTCCGTGTACCGGGACCGCTCCGCTGCGTGCCCGGTCGTGTGGTCGTGTGATGAAGCCTGGCCAAGGCTTGTCCCCAATGATTTTATCACCAACCTGGGTCATCCATTGGACAACCAATGGACACCCAGACAGGATGATCCTGGCAACAAGGTCAACAAATTTGGGGAACCAAAGGTGGCAACGGCTGGGTGGCAGCGACGCCGGCATGGGCTGTTTGTAGAGGAAAGTGGTATCTTCCAAGAACCCAAGGGCCATTGTTCACTTCCATGACTTTTCCAGGGAGTGTATATATATTAACAAGAGCAACAGACGAAGAGTTCTCCTGCCACAACCAGACTGTGTAAGTGCTTGGGGGAAGCCATCGACGCCTAAGCTACCCTTAGCCTGGACCATGAGGAACTCTAGCTTCCTCCTGCACGGCAGAAGTCCTGCGTCCGAAGCCGCAACTCTTCAGCTCCGGCCCAGCCCATACAAGGTCTTGGTCTCAAAAAGGCTCGCCCACCCCTGACTTGGAAGCTTCTTGAGCCGTATCCACGGACTACGACCAACTTCTTGCGAGCTGGGGACATTCCTCAAAGCATTTGAGTCATTTACGGATCGAGGAGGTGCCCTTACAGCCACCAAGTAATGCTGACCTCCGCTACGCTCCCGCTGGTTGCTGACACCACCTTCCATCCCAGCGGCATTGCCATGCCACCGCCGGAGATCGTTCCGCCGGACATCGTGGCCGGCATGGCGGCGGGTGCGGAGCCCATGCTATAGATGGACGCAGCCGCCTCGGGGAAAGAAAGACCACGAGGCGCCAGGGCCCAAGAGGATGCTTAAGACTAACAGACTTGGCCGTCGAAGTTTGCCCATGTAGAAAGGGGAAGATGATGTGTTCCTTGCAAGGGTCTGTCTTGGTGTTTGGGAGTGTACCAACTATAAGACCAATCTGCTTGTAAACCGCCAGAACACGAGTATGGCTGATAGAGCAGTGTGAAACACATGCAATGACCCAGCAACAAATCTCAGACTCAGAAATGGATATACTATGATATACTGTTTTGGCAAGAGCTTTCTGAAAACAACTCATGATGCTAGTTGCCTAAAAAGTGTTCACATGTTTTGAGGAAATTAGGGAAGTATAATGATTTGTGTTACAGTATGTTGCCGCTAGCTTCTTCCTCATATCCTTGTCCTAATAAGTAGTTGGGCGTACAATCCCACGAGCATCAAGCCATCCAAGAGCCCAACAAGTGCCTCTGGGATCTCTAGAATCTTGATGCGCTTGTTTTGCGGGGAGGAAAATATAGTAGATTCTTTTAAAAAATGCCTTTCGAGAATCATATCTTCTCGATAAGAACTTTAGAGGAACCTGGATCAACTTTTGATTCTGTCCATAGGTAGCACGTTTTGCCTGAGCAACTCATTTTCCATCCCACCACTGCCGTCGTGCTGCGCCCGCGCTTGCACACGGCAGCGCAGACGCGCCGTAGCCGCTGTAGCCCACCGCGCCCACCGAACGACCGGGAGAGCTGGGTGTTGGCATGTAGATCCTGAGAGCGGAGTCCATGCGCCCCGAGACCAGGTCCGCTGGGCGTTGGCTGGGCGCTGAGACCGGCAGGCGCTGTCATGCAGCATGCAGACCGCCAGACTTTTTTGAGCCTCATGAAAAACAGCTGGGTCATGGTTGGAGGTGAACCTGTTCAGTCCTTGAAAGAGTGGCCTGGATCAGGGATTCTGAAGACTGTAAACCGGATGCGACGGGATGTAACCTCATGATTGAAGACACACTCCTGGAACTAACATGGAAGTCAAAAATGGTCACTTGGAAGACCATTTTCCTCTACACACAGGGGGTTCCACTTCCATGTTAGTTCCAGGGAGAGTAGCTAACCTGAACACCACTGGTTTGCAGAAGAAAAAGGGCTCAAGAGCTTAAGTGGCCGAACCTAACAGCGACCTAAGAATTTGTAGGTCAGCTCATTCCAGAAGTTGGGGGACTCAATGGCCACTCGCAGGCTCCCCCAATTTGGAATCATCACAGCCAAGGCTCTGCCCAGGGGCACCTGCGGTTCTCGTGTCAACCTCAGAGTGTCAGGTGAGTGACTCAGTCTCCACCTGCCGCCATCATCCACCTACTTACTACCCGGAAAAAGGTGCCACATGGAACCTGAAAACCACTTGGGTTGGTCTTCGGAAAATCGTCATGCAAAGCTACATGACATCAGGTTCCATGTGGGTCTCTTCCCCAGTGTAGAAAGACATGTTCGGCGAAAATGGACCAAACATTGCCGTTCCAGGATTGCTGAAGCACCCTCAAGCACCGCTTCTATGTTGATTTGGCTAGTTTTAGAGACGCTAAGATACTGTAGTTGGCCTTTGCTCCCAGTGAATGCAAAATCGATTCCACTCGGAGGCTTGGCGGCGAACGAGGTGTGTCTCCGACACAACCAGTTGGTCTAAGGGGGGTGTACCTGTGAGTGCTGGTGTCGTGCAGGTGTCGGCGAAAATGAGAACATCTGGCGGTCTGGCGGCCGGGCGGCTATGTTACTGTTACGGTGCTTGGGAAAGGAGCAAAGTAGATGTGGATTTCTCCATCGACCACGTTGCAGCCAACCAACCAATCAAACGAGAGAGGTGGCACGGTGACTTGGACGGAGCCTCACATGGGGTTGATGGGAGACCTGCCATATCAAGACTCAGACCTACTCTCGAACTTGCGGACATGGCCAGGTGGCCTATAACTTCACAAAAACTTTCTCTGCTTAGTTTCCTTTGCAAAAAAAGGGCATGTTCCTCTTTCACTTGGAAAACCAATCCCACAAAAGACTAAACATCTTTCACTTGGAAGACCAACTTTAACTTGGTCACTGACACGTTCACCCCTGTCCGCACCAAATGCTTCTTCGACGTCCGTGTGCGTTCTCCGGGCGCGTCCGACTGACACGGCCGCCGCGCCGCTGGGGCTGCTGTACCTCAGCGGCGGGGCCGCTGGTGTTGAAGACGGCGCTGAAACGTCGTGTTGAGCACTGGACCGGTGGCATCCAGATTTCTTCCTCACTAACTTAAGTGATTCTTCTTGTTGGTTCATAAATCCAAGATCCTGTTCAGGGACGTGATGACACTCCCTGATTACTAAGTAGTCATCGCTTCCATCGTGGATGGCAGGCCCAGCTCGAAGACTCAGATGATCGTTTTTATACCAAGCAGGTGGTGCCATCATGTGCCATCCACTTCAAGCATGTAAAAGGTTCGTTCAGAGTGATTTTCCCCCCTGAAGTCCACAACTCCCAGAGAGGTGAATTCCTTGTAGGCCTACAGGGCCTACACGCCCTCAGTGTAGGAGACCCTGTCAGCAAAGCAGCACCACAGGTGGCCCGGTCCACTGAGCAACCACGAAGCAAAAAGGATTCAACATCATAGTGGTTCAAGTCTATCTTAGTATGAATATAACTTATAACTACTAATTTGATCATACTAGTTTAAGATATTTTAAGTAGAAAAGATAGACATGAACATACATGAACCACTCTGATGCCGGATCTCGCCACGACCGCCCCCGGAGAGAAGATCCCGAGCATCCCGGGCGGCGCCGGGCCGGCGCTGTAGACAGCGCCACTGGGCGGTGGCCGGTGGCGCGCGCTGGTGAAACGGCGCCGTTTCGACGCCAGCCGGGGCCATCCAACCACGGATTTTTAGGTGTTTACCATGGTTCATACCGAACCACCATCAGTTACTATATGATTTACACCAGTGTTTTATACTTGGTTTTACTACGAAACCAGGTTGTGCCCATCTCTTACGGTCTTCTCGGAAGGTGAATGGGAGATGGACCAAGGGCAGAAGTCTGCTGGCGGTCTTCTCTGCGAATCGCAGAGATGGGTTGTGGCAGGGTGCATCGTCTAGGGGATCTCGTAGCACAGCTGGAACCACAGATGCGTTAAAGCATTACCTTAGAGCCTTGTATAGTGCTGGCAACAGCTTCATTCACCGATCAAAGAAACGTCTTCTGCCAGGAGTCACATGTCGGGGTGGTTTTTAGTTCCATCCAGTGAGTGGATGTGACAGGGGTACCCCTATCTTCCAAGTTCGGCACCCCGTCGAACGTGACTGCTGCCTTTCACCATTTCTTCGAGGTGTGTGGATCAAAAAAAGAACGAAGCACCGAACACCTGGTGCCTTGTCCCTCGTGTAGATGTCCCTAGAGGCAGGGTTGATGTGCTGCCGGACACTTAAATGCCTTGAAGCCCTAATTCGTGGCACAAAAAAGAACGAGACGGAGAGTGGGATTGGTACCGTCTTCTCTTGAAATCAATATCAATCAGTGGTTCAGTGGTTCTTTTTCATAAAAGAACACTGCTCCCAGGTCGGATCTGTGTTGGATGTTGGTCGCTCGGCCTTCAGTGTTTTGCTGAAGATGGCGCGCGTTTCATGGAGGTCGGTCGGAGGGAACCTTCGAAGACGTCCTTCTTTGGAACTCTACTACCCTACTCTACTACCCTATAGACGAAGTATCTTCAGTACCCCTTGCGCTTCGCACGTCCTTCAGACTTCGCCCGTCTACTGCTGAGTCGGACTGAAAGTACCGTCAGACCCCTGAAAGGTCCAGGTCCCTCGGGACCGATCGTCAGATAGCTATATAGCTGTGTTCATTCGTCGGGTGTCGCTGGAAACCCGGGAGTCGAACCAAGGCCCCAAGGTCTTCCGTGGTTCCTTTTTGGAGGTCACCCACCCACCCGACACTGGGGAGTCCGCACTAATATGCCTCGGGTCCCGCCATGGAGAGCGGCCGTGGGGCTGGCGACGACGAAGCCAGTTCTGAGCCCGAAGAGAGAGCAGCAGAGATGCAGAGATGCCATGCCACCATGCTGTAGATGTTTGTAGTGAAGAAGGATTCATGTTAGAGTGGCGTTGCACAAGGATTCAGAAGGGTGTGTGTATCTAAATAATTTCTAAATATAGAGTGACTTCCCAATTCAAGCCCCTTGCAAAAACAAAGGAAAAAAGACCAATGACCAAAGTCACTTATTTTTCAAGGCACCCAAGCTCTCTTGGGGGAAGCTCTTGCCAAAGCGAACGACAACATCAGCTGCGATGTTTCATCAGTGAGAACGCAGCCACGCTTGAGAAGAGAGGGTCCAATCAGCCACCGATCTCTTGGGGGGTTGCCTTGCGCCGTCCCTCGCTCAATTCGACTTGTGCCGTCCCACGGCCCGATTCGTTCCCGGGGCCGTGCCGTGGGTGGTGGACACCGTGTTTCGGAGACTCATCCAAGCAAGCGCTCGCGGCAGTGAAGACACTCTGGATCTTCACATCCCGGAGACCGAACTGCATGGCCAGATCAGAAAGAGCAGAAAGGGATCTAAAGGGCGCCTTGGAATCATGGGTCCTCGCCGCTCCTGCCTTTTTGGCACCAAGAGCATCCAAAAAAGCCACGTCTGTGCTCTGTTCCCCCCCCACATCCTCCCATTCGTCCGGGAGCCGATCTTGCGAAAGACCACACCCCAAGCACTCATTTTCGGATGTCAGCCACACTCGTTCGACCAATGCCTCGGAGAGACAGCGAAGGATATCCATCAGAATGCGAAGGATGTGACGGTGACGGAACGTGAAGAGAAGAAGCTGAAAGTGGATCTCTGAAAGTCATGGCAAGGGTTCAGATGATACATTCAACATCCAGCACTACCTAACACTGGCTGGCCCTGCCCCTTCCAGATCGAGACGAGGGCGATAGTAGCGAGTCAAACAGCAGAGGCTCCACACCAGGGACCTCCTTCTGCTCTCACCTCAAGTTTGGCACGTCATGGAGTTGGGCTTTTAGCAGCTTTTTCAGCCATCTCTTAGGCTGCCAGTCCGTCCAAACCTTCCACCCAGGGGAAACAGCTCTTCACCTGGGAGGTCTCCCTGTTTTGATACCCACTTGGTACGTCGACCTGAAGGACACTGCGACGGCCCGGGAAACAGCTCGCCGCAGGGCCGTCGCTACCCGAAGACCGGGGAATTTTTAGCGGCGCCCGAAACGCATTCCTGGCAGCACACGGAAATGGTGAGACATATTTGTCAACATATATTATCTGGTTGGTGTTTTCAACCCATTTGAAAAATATTAGTCAGAGGGTCCAATCATCCCCAAGTAAGGGTTGAACATAAAAATATCCGAAACCATCACCTAGTTATATATAGTCAGCATTGCCATGACACAACCGCATGCCCACATGCTTCCGAGCATTGAAAAATAGTACTATGGGATGTGATGGGGGTTTAGAATGAAGACCACAAAACCCTACATCATCGCCGATGTATCTTGCTCCCTTTTGGAACACGACTCACAGGATTCACTTGACTCAGCCATCGACTTTCGTGATGACCATCTGAGGCTCCTGCTTCGAAGGCTCTCAAGAGCTCCGGATAGGCCAGGTCCTGCCGCCAGGCTGGGCCGGCTGGGCCCTCGTGTGAAATACGGAGGCCCCGGCTTGGCTGGCTGAAGACATGAGGATCTGAGACCATCGATGGGCTCTGGCGGCCTTAGTTTGCGGATGTGTTCCGTTTGAGAGTCAATGTCATCCTTTGGCCCTCGTCGGCTGGTTCTGGTACCCTGATGCTTACTGCTCCAGAGACCTGTGCACATAGAAAAGGTGCCTTATATGGTCCTTGTGAGGGCATTGTCATGGATTTCCTCTCTAAGCACAACCCGGACATTACATGTAAGGCATATTTACATATATTCACCCCCCCCTGAAGCCACCCCACTCTAGTATACGCCCTAGATGGAGTGTCTGGGCAAGACTGCAGCAATTCTCTTCCACATGTCTCAGACATCCTGAGGAAATATCACTCCATTTTTGTGGTGTGTCTTTTCAAAAGATAGGCACCACGGCGAAACGAAATTCGTCATCTCCTCGCCACTGAGCTCTTCCTGCATCGCCTTTGTTTGGCGCATAGCGCGGATGGTGTGGATGGTGAAACACACCGCACGCCATGGGCTGAGACAAGCAGATGTCCTCTTGGACATAAAGGCTAACCATGGCTGGCTGGCCAGTTTAACCTTATCCAACCGTTGTTTCTCACCCCCAGCCCCCGGCCTAAGGTTTTAAGATGTTTTCAGTTTGTAAATGTTTGTACAGTAATTAGTAGGGAAACATAGGGAAGCCGTGAAACCAACATAAAACCCACAAAGTGGTCCAAGGTGGCCCTGTTGTCGTTTTATTGCACGGCCGGTAGAAAACCATAGAAGGTTCGAATTGGACACCCCTGCGCTCTCCCGCTGAACACTCCTAGAGATCTTGTGGTGCTCAAGTACACACGCGGATCGGCCCGCGGATCGCTAGAACTGCAGTGAATCACTGATTCGCTGGAAAAGCACCGGACGAAGGTCTGGAGAAGGTCTTCTCCACATCCTACCCGGCCCTGACGGTTCCTTCAATCGCTGCTCTGGTCCCCGCCTGTCGATGGGCCTCAGCCAAAGGCCGCTCGAGGACTTGGTAGAGCAAGGAGACCTGTGACTCCATCGGACTTGCTGCGGTAGAAGCAGTAAAGAGGGCATCGCTAGTAGTAACAACCAGCACCACCCAAAGGGTGGTTATTAGGTGGAAAATAGATAGTCTGGGGGGTCTATAAACCACCCTTTGGGTGGTGCTGGAAGGGCATTACCTACTAGCAAATAGCTAGGTTCGTAGCTCCTAGCTAGCCAGTCTTAGACGGGGGCTTCGTGGGTCGAATTCCGGGCCGCTTCATCTACCCTACTAGGAATGGCCTCCAACCTAAGCGTCCTTGCTCCTAGTAGCCTCCAACCTGCTAGCTTCTTTCTACTAGCGTTCCCCTTTCCTCTTTTGCCTTTTGCTGTCTCTTTTATTCCTGCCTACAGCGTGGCGATGTTTCTCTTCCGTCAGTTCTACGGCCCGTCAAGCTCCCACATCGGTCGACATCAGCGGGGGCGGTATGACTGACCTGCCCACATTTTTGACCGCCAGCAGTTGTTGACCGCCTTACATCACTGCTTTTGTGCGGGAACCTGTATATCAACGAGTCAAAACCACTCTTCCACCAAGCCATGGGAGCTCGGTTGACATCCCATACAGCGGAATCTGTTCATTTTTGATGGGACAAAAAAACAGGGTGCTGGGTGCCATCACCCACACAGATATCAACCTTCTAGGGGAGAAGAAATCGGACTTGTCCAGATGAAAAAGCGCACGAAATAACGCCGAGAGACGCCGACACTGAGCATCAGTACAACAAAGTGCAACATTGGGGCAGGATCTCCCTATACAACAGGCATATTTGAGGCAAAAGAAACCACCCGATTTTAATCGAGCCTCTACAAACTCAGCATTCCCTGCTAGTTTTGCATGGTCTTGTTCCACTGCTCCAAACAATCAATGTTTCTTGATGGTTCTTTGAACATGCCCTTGATCCAACTTCTATCTCCTTCATGTGGGGTCCTCCCCCCACTCCCCATTCATTCCTCTTCAAACCCAAAAACAAGCCCACGCCCCGCCACACGGTTCTTCCACCGGATTCGAGACACACCGCCCTCCGCTCAAAAAACCACCACGGTTCTGTCGCCCTTGGCGGCCCAAATCGCTCGGGGTTGACCCCGCACCAGCTCCACGAAGTTCTTTACGGAGATCCGCCCCGAATCCTGGGGAGCGCGGCTCGAGCAGCGCTCCGACGTTCCGATCCGGATCCGCCCTCAACGAGGCGCCATGTGGGTTGGTGGGTGCGGTGCAGTCGGTCTCCGCGGATGCAGACGTCACAGCAACAAGCGGGGTTCGGAGGGGGTACCAAAGACCCAGTGAAACCTGGTCTTTTACCTCCTCAAGTGTTGTTTTTCATGACAATCCCCAGTAAAATGAGGTCAAACTGACTTGTAGGGTGACCGTAAAAACCGCTTGTTGCCACTTTTTCACCCCGGGTTACGGTGGACCGGGACCCTCATAGGAACAGTCTAACAGCCTCTGTTCCTTTTCGGTCGGAAAGACCCCGGGTTTACCAGGTCAAACGACCCACACCCACATGTATGAGCCAAATATCCACTATGACGCCTCCTCAGTGGTACCCTTTCTTTTCCACTTGTCTCACTTTTTGGTTGCCACGCACAGACGTGGCAGACTTGTCTTTGTTGAGCGACTCTTTGTTTCACCGGCAGACATGTATATCTTCTTTCGATCCAAATATCCACCTGTTACATGCACCACGTGGGCTGTCGATCGACAGCCTGTTACATCCACGTAACCCGCAATCGATCGACAGCTGCAGTATGCAATTCCAAAGACAACTCACTGCGGAAGGAGTTCCCCACCAGGCCTCCAAGTCCCATGCAAAGAAACACCAAAAGTCACGGGCGAGTTCCAAAGTTACACCTGTCCTCAACAAAAAACTTGGATTGGAGCAAGAGCAATTGAAAGAAGTGATGAGCCTTTGAAGTCTGGCTCTGCAAATGCATTCCACCATCCCAGAACCCTTTTGACCTGCATGTTTGATAGGAAAATACCAATATATGTTGAATAGTTGATCCTCCAAAACAGGGGTCACGTCGGGTCTACAGTCGACTACAGTCGTAGTCACTCGTTTGACCCTCAGTGACCGCCCGTCACTGAGACTTCGGCCATCGGATCGAGAGTGCGGCAGACCCGCATCAAGGCTGCCTGCGAGACACGGCCCCCCGGAGTGGGTCCAGCAAGACCGGAGTGGATTTTTTGGGGGGGCGTTGCTCTTGAAAGCTCCAAAGGTCCGGTCGCATCTGGTCGAAATCAACGCCCTGGCTTGAACCACTTGGACACATGTACTAGAATGAGAGGGCGCCATCATATGGAACCGCTTGGCTATGGGGTCCCATGAATCAAAGCAGTCCCTTCCAATGTCTTTCCCTGCTGCGGAGTCAGCGTCACCATGCGGTGAGGTGGCATGGGGAGCACAACGAAGTGGATAAGCAGATGTGTTTTGGAAGTACCTAAACTATGTAACATAAGCCTAAAACCTCAAGAATTTGACCCGCAGTTTCCCTGGAAGAAAAAAAAACAGGTTAACCTCTTGCATCTGTTCATATTGCACAGTCGATCACGTTGATCGTGTCAGTCTCTGGTTCTTTTTGCATCCTGCGAAAACTCTGTGTCTGCCAATCTGCAACGTCTAAGCTGCAGTCCTGGCTTGCCCTTTGGGGATATGATTGACTCGCAATCAGGACAATGCTTCAAAACATTTGAGAACACCTTGACTAAGAAAATGAATGAAAATGATGAGTTCGTCGATTTGGAGGCCTTCCTCGTTTTACAGAACCTAAAAAGACCGGAAGGACCGGAGGATTGGTGAAAACCATGTTCTTATTCAAGGCCTTTGGAAGCTGATGGAACTCGGCTTCATTTGGTGTTCCCGCGCCACTGCCCCCATGGGGACCATCGGGCTGAGCCAGCACTTGGAGCTGCGAGCTGCGGCTCCATTGCTCTGGTCATACTCACTCCAAAAAAAACTTCTAACAAAAATATACAAAAATACTAAAGACCCTGACCCTCACATCAACATTTCGTGACCAGAAAATGAGGGACCCCTGTCCAACACGCCTTTCTGGTGCTCTGTGCTGCCCAGCACTCCCATCATCTGGGGATCCACCTGGAATCCCCTCCGCCGGCTCACGAGCTCACCGAGCACTTCGGGCGCGGCCGACAGCCACAGATCGTTGCCGGACTCCTTCTGAGATGCCCTCCAAGGAGGGCGCTCGTCCGCGAAGTGTCTCGGGTCCTGGGAGGGCGGCTGGGCGCGGCCCCTCCGTGGCCCGTGCGAAGAGGCCGAGCACGTCGCCCCACAAAGGGAGTCGGATGATCTGAACGACCCAGAGTCCAAGACATCCAAGAGGTTAAAAAGGATCAAAGCTCTGAGGATCGGGTGTCCACCGAATTCCGCATGCATCGCACCTTGTGAGAAAAAGAGTTGCGAGCAAACAGGTAGGACACTCTTGTAGAACACTCTTCTGGGATACTCTTGTGGGACACTCTTGCAGGAGACGCTCTTGTGGGACACCCTCGTGCGACATTCTTGTGGGACACTCTCGCGCAAGACTCTTGTGGGACATTCTTGTAGGACACTCATGGGCCTCTCTTGTGTGTGGGACACTCTGACAGGGCACTCACTCTCGTGGGACATGCTTGCTTCCTACAAGTGCCACACGTCAAGTCTCCAAAACAGGCTTTTCGTACGAGACTTTCTCCAAAAGTCACGCGTCAAGTCCCCAAAACGAATGTCTCGTCCAATTTTGAGAATGTCCTCCAAAGTCCAAAGGTCACATGTCAAGTCTCGAAAACCAGCGTTTCCTTCGAGACCTCCTCGAACTCACGCGTCGGCGTCCCCAAAGCGAGCGCTTCGTACGAGTATAAATTGAGTCGCGGGAAATATCGGGAAGTCTCTTCAGAGCGAACACATCAAGCAGCCAAAATCAAGCAGCCCGGCCAAGCAGGTTCGCAGTCCCAGCCCCTCAAAGCCACACCCGCTAACACACCAATCCTACTGTCACCGCGACATTCACCTCCACCAACTGTCGCAACCTCACGATTCCCTGTGCCCCAATGTTGCAGCGACATCTATAGCACCTCCAACATACCACCCTGCGATCGCCAATCCCATGTCACAGCGAAGGAAGACTGAGAATTTGACAGGGCCCAGCACCTGCGCAGCCAAATCATCCTCCACACTCCAACTTGCTTCCATACGTTTCCATGCTGTTTCACACAATCTGACACGTCATGCTTCCATCCAAAACCTCCTCCAAAAGCTTCCCCCGCTGTCAGCGCCATAGCGACCTATGTTGCCGACGGTCGCGGATGGTTGCGAACGTTAGGCCATCGCGTCGCAAACAAGGGTCTATCCTCAGACCCCCATGTATTAGTGGGTGCTGTGGCCTGTTTGTCTGTGGGAGGCCACAGCACCCTGGAAGCTATTTCTAGATATACTGGACGCTATTTCTAAATTCCTGGACGCTATTTCCAAAGGCCTAGAAACTATTTCCAACTTCCTGGAAGCTACTCATGAACTCCAGGAAGGTCATGTGACAAAATAAAGGGACCATTCAGACTATTTGGATGGATTTGTGATTTGTGTGGCTTATGAAACGGGCTCTGGAAGCCTTTGCTCCTGCTACTGCCATACTCATTACACGAATGTCCAATGGGGAATCCTCATAGATTCTGACTGTATGACTCATATTACCATGGCCCTACAGCGGAAACAGTAGAGAAGCAGCGATGAGTGATGAGATGCAAAAGTTTTTTTTCCACGGTGCCATTTGGTACACAGACTGGTGACTGGTCTGAGTCCTTGCACGGGCCACACGCCTTTAGGCAGTGCAATTTTGCCAATCCAATCTGTAAAGACAAACCCCCATCACAGGAAATGGAACCCTGTGATCTAAATCCCCTAGTTGGCTTTGGCCTTTGCCTTAGCCTTAGCTGCAGACTTGTTCTTGGCTGCTGCTTTTGGCTTCTTCTGTGGTGGAGCACTCCTTGGTTGGCAATTGGATGCCCCCCATCCCCCTGAACAAAAAATCAGGTGTGTTATGTTGCGTGTGTTTTGTTTTGTTTTTGTTTGTGGTGCCCTGTTCGTCTCAAAAAGTTGAGAAAAAAGCAAGTAGTAGTCTGGTAGAAAGGATTTGGGAATATGGTTTGGGAATATGGTAAGAGGGACGAAACATAAAAACAAAAATTACACAGTAAAAAAAAAGGTAAAAATATACTATATTCAATTCAAATTGTAGTTAATAAACTTTTATATATAATATTTAATGAACATAGTATAACTCCAGACACGTCTATGATGAGTCTACTGTAAACCTGTCCGACTACTGTGAGCAGCCATAGTAAGTTATTTGATACAAACGCAATGAAATCCAGTATAGGCGCTCCGCAGTCTCTCCAGTTCCATCTCCACTCTTCACAACCTCCTCGACCTTTGCCAATAAATTGGGCTTGAGATCATTCTTGGTCATCCCAAGAGCCTTTGCCAATACCACGCAAAGTTTCCTCCAGGATCCAAGTTTGTCCGTGTAGTTCTTGGAATTGACGACAAGATCTGCCACAAGCACTGAGCTGCAAATCTCTGAGATCTCCAGGCGAGAGTCCTAGATTCTGATAGAAACTCGAAATGAACGTGCGTTGGTATGGGCTCCAACAACTATCATGTGTCGTCAGCAGAGTCATCCTACTTACATGACAGCCAGTGACTGGCCTTGACCTTCTTCAGCCACTCCAACACTGACTCCCGATGTGGGCTGCGGCTCCACCCATCCATCTTGGCCACATTCTTTGTTGTTGACAGAAAGTCCTCAACGATGAAGAACCTGTTCTTGAATCCCATAATTGTTTGGATCTCACTTTCGGTTGATTGCTCCCCATTGAAGATCCACATGACATCCTCCATGGACCAATTGTCCACAGCTGAAAGAATGGGCCTGGAAACGTGAAGGCTGAAGGGTTGATCCAATTTAATTGAGTTCAATTGAATGAAGAACGGAAGTGAAACTTGAAGTTACCAATGAGTCAGTCAGTATTTTGTAAGTAAGGAAATCGAAGCACAATTTAATATATTAAATAATGTGTCTGTCACGTCCATAATTCATAATGTGTCAATGAATGGATGTAAATGACTGGAATCTCTGACTCAGTGGGAGTGAGAAAAAATCGTCTCCAATAAAAAGGACCACGGGAAACCAGAAGTCAAAAAAACATCGCTGGCCAGTATCAAACACTGAAACAGAAACAAACAAACAAGCAAACAAAACAAACAAGAAACGTGTCAAGCCTGTACTTCTGGACGAGCTTGGAAACCTCACCGTGATCACCACGCAGTTTGGTAAAGAAGCTCTGAAGCGACTCCTCCACCGATTTGCAGAAGACATTTACACACTCGACGGTCTCCTGTGCAAAGTGGTCATCAAACTGGGTGGAATCCAACGAGTTGATGGTCAGCCACTTTTTGACAGTCTTCATCAAGCATGGGAGATCCTTGTCATAGTCGGTAATTTTGGCAGGGGGCGCCTCCAACTTGTCCAGGATCGGGGCACACTTTGCCAAACGAAGAAGAGATGTGAGAGACTGGGGCAAGTGCTTGCAACACTCCAAGACATTGGAAACCTCTGCTGGTCCACTTGCCTTCCAAGTCCTCTTCGCCCACGCGGAACCATCCTTCTCAATGATCTTCTCAAAGCGAGAGAGGGCTGATTTTGCAGCGTCCAACCAATCAGGCTTCATGGACTGCACGGCCTCGGAGCCGAGGTGCTTCTGCATCTCCAATAGGCGAGCGCAGCACTTTTCCAATGGAATCTCACTCTCCCCCTCCTCCAAGGAAGTTGACCACTGAAGGACACTCTCAAGCAAGGCTGAGGATGCCATTTGGCATGCAGCGTCTTTGCCAGCAAGCACCAGGCTAGAAATCTTGCCTTGAGGCAGGGGTGCAAAACAAACGCCCCGCCCACTGCACAAGATACAACCTTCTTGAATTTGGAATTGTAATTGGAAGGGAATGAGCGAAAATGTTTAATGTTTAAAATTTAAAACACTATAAATAAATGGACATGGATTCTGGATGTTCAAATGCTAGCTAGCTGGGATCACTAACTAACCCGGCTTTAGTTTCGCCCTACTCTTGGCTGAATGTTTGTGTCACTGGCCACCGGTGACACTTAAATTACAAGAGTCTGAAGTCCAGCAGTTTACACCAACCCAAACTGGACACACTACCAAACAGCACGTGCCTACAGTACAAGTACAGTACATTGTGAACACGCTGATGCCAGCCTGCAACCACGGAGCGGCTGAGGACTTCCGACTTCTCCTCTGTGAAAGCGATCTCGTAGGTATTCTGGAACAGCTCATCAAAGAAGGACTTGTAGTCGTCCATAAACCACTTCTCAGAAGAAAGAAAAGTGTTCAAGGCGCTCAAGGATTGCTCGAGGTCTTTCTGGATTTCCTTGTGGCTGCTCTCCTCACCATCTGCAAGCGCAACTTGCAAAGAGGCAGTGGACTTGCACTTCTCAATCAATGGCTGAGCTTTGCCAATGTCCAGGCTCTGGGACTTGTCTTGATGCTTCTCCAAGAACGCGTGCAGTCGAGCTAGGGAGTCCTTCACCTTCACAGCCTGTTGGCTTGCTGTTTGCAGGTCAACCTGCTGCTTTGCGATGTCAACCACAGACTCCCACAAAGTCCTAGCAAACAGTTGTTTGCAGTTATCAACAAACCAACAATCTGAGAGTTGAGAGATCAATCAAACAATATTTCACAGCCGGCCCACCGCACCAGAATCTAAGCAACACATTGGTTGAGATTTGTGACTGTAAGTGTGTGACTGTGTGTGTGATTGTGTGTCGTAACACTTGATTTGTTTGTGTCTATGTTTGGACAGCCAGACCAATCCACAGGCCAGGCCAGTGACAGTGAATCATGAGTTTCATCTGCAAATCTGTCCTCAGGCGAGCATTCGAGCGGAAAAGCAAGTTAGTGCGGCTGGAAAAGCATTTGGCGTGGCCAACCAACGTCTTGAAAGCAGACCCGAGGTGAGAGGCAATCAGGTTCTCTTGGAGCACAATCTTCTTACACGCCAAGAACCGCTGTACATCAAGCAAGAACTTTGTAGCAATGCCACTCGGGTTGATTTCCGCTGCATCGTCGGGAACCTGTAGGGTCAACTTCTGCACAGGCTCTGAAAACTTCCTGCAGGGTCTAGCCAAGGCACAAATTTACTTTTTACCTTTGGGCTTTGGGCATGCAGTAAACAAACATGTGTTTTGCAGAACAACGTTTTAGCACGGAACTGGGTCCTCAACAGGTCAGGGTTCCAAAGTGAATCAGGAATGCCCTGCAACAAGCTGTCGATGTCATTAGACTTCTGGGCAGCGTCAAACCAATAATTCATCAGGGAGGCTTGCACT